AATATCGAAAAAAAAAAAATTCAGATCACGAATCCATAGAAAATATTAAAATTAGGGTTTTCGAAACACACCAGATTCAGTACTAAAATGGCGAGACAAGATGGGGAATGAAAGAAGGACATTCTCCGGAGCATTGGACGGCCGGGAGGCCAGACAAGTCGGGTTGGAAACGGATCGGGCCGGGCCGAGATGGCGGAGCTGGACCGCGAGTCTTCTGAACATGATTGAGATCCGATTAAACGTTTTGAGTCTGATCACAGGTAGCTCCTTCACTCTACAAAATCTCTCTCTCTCTCTCTCTAATTTGTTGCTACAAAGAGAAGGGTTGAAAGGGATAATGGAGCAGGAAAATGTGAGTTGGGGAGGCGATGAAACAGGTCTGAGTTTGCAAAATGGAGCGGTTGACTCGCACGCGCGCGATGAATTGCCACACGTGTTTACTCTCTTTCAAATTTTCTCTAACCTTTATTTTTTCATTTTATAAAAGCCTTTTTTGGAGTATTTTCAGGTTGAGAACAGTAACCTCGGATCAGCAGTTTGGCTCAATTGGCAATTTTTACCGTATGATATTAATCGAAATGTTTTTTTTTTTCTTCCTCAAGGAAATAAATAAATAAAATCTATCTGTGAATATATAAAGAGGGAATGATAGTTGTTTGAAAAAATAATGTAAAAAATCAGAAAAAAAAAAATTCAATTCCCGCCTAAAGTTTAGAGCAGGATTTTTGGCGAAAAAATGAATAAGCCCGCCCATACAATTCGAAATTTTTGGAGATTTATTGATTGATTTCAGTTTATTTGGACTTATCTATTTATACAATCTGTTTTTTTTAATCAAAAATTTGAAAGAAATGATCCACATCAAAAGTAAAAAGAGAAAAAAAAGGAAAATAATCTCTCTCTTTTTCATCCTCAAATCTTTTTTTTTTCTCTCTCCATTTTCTCCTCTTTTCTTCTTCTGCCCGATTTTCTTCTTTCCCTCATCCATCACTCTCCTTCTTCTTATTTCTCCAACCCCAAATTACCTCCCAACATCAGAATCGGTCAGCCATCCTCAACTATCCTCTTAAAATTTATCAATAACACCCAAGAATTCCAAATCTCGAAATCAATTTCCTTTCTTTCCCATCCAATCGTTTCTCTAAAATCCGGCCGGTGGTCGAGCCTGAAAACGGGAAATTCTCGGTCCACCTATATACAATTCCACCATGGAATTTAATACTCTCCGGCGGCGCTGGGGGAGGCGGAGGCGGAGGCGGAATTGAATCGGCGCTGTCGGCAAGGGAGATGTGCTGCTAGCGGGCGCAGCTGGATCGCACGCGCTCCGGTGCCCAGAAGGCACTCCGGGGGCTCAAGTCCATCAGCGACGGCAAAAAAGCCACATCGACGGCTGGAGCGAAGTCGAGAGGAACTTTGCGAAACTCGCCAAAGATGGCTACCTCTATCGATCTGATTTTCGGCAATGCATAGGTTCTTAATTGATGGCTAATTGTGCTGTTAATTGCGGTTTGTTGAGCTCAAATCAGTGCTTGATTTTTAGTTACAACTGTACTGTTACAGGAATGAGGAATTTGCTTTGGAATTGTTCGATGCCTTGAGCAGAAGGAGACGGCTGAAAGTGGACAAAATCAGTGAGGAGCTTTACAAATTATGAAATATTTGCGAATAAAAATGAAACTGCTAAAAAAAAAATCATGTAACATAAAGAGAATATAAAAGAAAAGGAGGAAGCCATTTTAGTTGGTGTATGTAAGATTGATTTTTCATGTATATTGATATTCCTCTGTGTTTTGAATTCATATGATTTGACTGTAAGCAAGTCTTGATTTTGTAGAAGCTTTCAGAATGGAGTCAATGTTCATTAGTGGAGTCCAGTTTTCAGAAATATGGTGTTTTCCAGGTTAACTTCCTTCGAGTTTACAAGTTGTACCATATATTTGATTGATCTGTTGCTCGATTTTATTAATTTTGAAAGGAACGGTTGACGATATGGCTGAGTATTGCTCGTGAGTTCTTTAGTTTGCGAGTGGAGGAGAAGAAGAAGCTTTAATTACTAAGACGAACCTTCCAAAACCACGAGACTCTCGACTAGCCAACTTTGCTGAGGCTCTAGCCGGAAAATTCCCGGGTGATCTCAAGGTATCTGCTGTGTTCTTTCAATCCAAAGATATTGTAGAAGACTGTTGTTGTTATTATTATTTGTAATTTAGTTTTTGCTCGGTTTTTTTGAAATTCTGTTGATTTGTTGTTGCGAAGATGTGAATTAGTTTCTCCTGTGTTTTGAGAATGATTTGGGGGTTAATTTGTGGTGTTAGGTTGTTTTGGGGGTTAATACATTTGGTGGTAATCCTGTCGGCTGGCCATGCTGTTGTCACTGAATGAGGCAAACCCATTTAAAACAAGGCTAAAGGATAGGTTTAACTAATTATTCCATTAAATTTTGTGGAAAAAAATAAAACGTATATTTATTGATCATCGTACTTATAAGTTAGATCAAACATTATTGAATATAGTTAATTAGGATATTCTAATTTGATAGAATGTTGGATGTGTATGTAAGCAATGAACAAATTCAAGGCATTTAAATTACTACCCATATATACCACTCATTACAGATGAATTCATATTCCAAATCACAGTAATTACCAACACACGAGACATGTTTTTGAAGAAAAGCAAATCATGCTTTCAAGATTTTCAGAAATGATATGAACTAAAACAAGTAAAGAGTCGCATATTACAGATCAAAGTTTTGATTCCAGGCTTCAGATTTTCTTCGACATGTATGTTTCCTCATTTTGTACAGTAATTAGTTGGGGTTAAGTTGATTAGCAAGTTAATTACGTAATTAAGCGAAACCTAAGCAATCAACTTAGGATATATGCAATAATGCAATGATTTTTAGAAAATGACGGGGGAGGTGAGTTCAAGTCTTAGATAAATCAACTCGATTTTTTTAGGAATGAAGACCAAGTATAAATGATAATTGAATTATAAAAAAACATGTAATTTGAGAGTAATATATTAGAGTTTGCAATTAAAGTAAAACAAACCAGCCCATTGTCGTGGTCTTTCCTTTACTCGCAATCTATCATGGAAAAATTATATAAAAAATTTCCTAAAATCTCCAAAAAAATCGATAGTCAAAATAATAAGACTGACTAAATTTATAGTCAAAATATAAGTATTTACCAATTAATATTTTTATAAAATTTACTCAGTCTTATTACTCTGTCTTAATAAGACTATAATTGGTAAATCTTTACTCAGTCTTATTATTTTGACTATAAAATTTATACGTATTTACAAATATTTTTACAAAATATACGTATTTACCAACTTTATAAAATATTTTATAAAAAATTTATTTACTCAGCCTTATTGAATATACGTCCGCACGCAAAAAAAATTGAATATTTACAAGATTCGTAATTACCAATTAGAAAGCAATATTGGTAAATTTCGATCTACCATGGCGAAGTTGAAACTCATAATTAATAGGAAGACGAAGCTCTTGAAAATTTCTTCCAATTTTCCTACATTTAATTTTGACTTCCGTAGTTTTTCTATTGACAATGTGGATGAACCATTTCCTTTGGTAATTGTTTAGTTTAATGTGAATTCAAATATTTTTACAATTTTTATTTTCATTTGACACTGCTTAATAAATTGTTGATCGAATTATTTTGATATTATAGAAATTGGTATGGTCATTAAGGTTCAACCCATTCAATCAAAATTGGTTCATGGAGAAGACTCAAATGATCCTATTTTCCATGATAGATTGCGAGTAAAGGGAAGACTACTACAATGGGCTGGTTTGTTTTACTTTAATTGCAAACTCCAATATATTACTCCCAAATTACATGTTTTTTTATAATTCAATTATCATTTACTTGGTCTTCATTCCTTTAAAAACGTACAATAAAAATTACAATATTCTTTTTCTCCAGTTACTTAATTTAAAAGTTTTTTTTTTGGCACATTTAGTTGATTTAGTTAACTAAATTATTTAAATTCGTAATATAATTCAGAATCTGTTTTAATATAACATTATATATAAAAATTTTAATAGGAGAAAATATATATATATATAATAATATTATAAATATAGAAAAAAAAAGAAAAATATGAAAATTGTAATTTTAAATAAAATAAAAACTATAGTTATACCAATTTTCTTTGGTATTTGTTTGATTTATATATTATTCACATGTTACTTAAAATTATTTTTTTGCAATGATATTTGATTTGCAAGACTATGGCTGGTGAGGTCATAATTTATATCAACTTTTAACTAAATCAGTTAAAAAAGTATAATATTTTAAAATTATTGACTTAATGTATTGCAACTATAAAAAAATATATAACTTTGTAATAAAGTCTGCGATTTGAAGGAATATGTCAAATAATATCATATATCTATTTACCTAAATTTGGAGGTTTTTTTTTTTTTTTCGGCAACGATAGATAACCTAAATCGGAGGTTATATTTCCATTTTGATTAAAATATACAAATTGAAA